GTACTATTAGGAAAAGTGCAATACAGAGAGATAGTCGTGCTCTGATATGCCTCTGAATGAAATTTTACAGGCTTTTGTGTTTTTTATGTGTTTCGGGAATTCACTTTGTTATTTTTAGTATTTTTAAGCGCTGGGCAAAGCTTTAAAAAGCTAGTTGCTGGCACCCATTGACTTTAATAACGCGAAGTAAGTCAATGGGCACCAACATTCTTCAAAAAATCTTATTTTTTGTTGAACGGAACACAGAATCTCAAAGTTTAAAACAACATTAGGTGATACATTTTTTTAAGATTAACTATTCCCTTAATACATCATGTATTTTTAAATAAAATAAAATAAATAAATGAAAATCAAATTAAAAATAAAATACAAATAAAAGAAAAAATAATAAAATAAATAAAAATAATATAAATAGAATAAAATAAATAAAATAAAATTTTTTATAAAATATAAAATAAAATATATAATAAAACAAAAAATCAAATTAAAAATAAACTAAATACAAATAAAATAAAAATAATATAAATAAATTAAATTAAACAAATTAAAAAATATTATAAATTAAATAAATTAAAATAAATGTAATAAAATTAAATTAAATATAAAATAAAACTAAATATAATAAAAAAAATAAAAAATAGAAATAAAAGAAAAGAAAAAACAAAATATAAAATAAAACAAAACAAAATAAAATAAATTTAATTAAATGAAATAAAAATAAAATAAATAAAAGAAAATAAAAAGAAAACAAAATATAAAATAAAACAAAACAAAATTCAATAAATTTAATTAAATGAAAAATAAATAAATAAAATAAAATGTAACTAAATCAATACAAATAAAAAAATTAATAAAATATAAAGTAAAATAAAATGAATAACCTCTTATAGAATAGACAGTAATCTACTGGAAAGAGGGAACATTGACTCCTTAAATTTATCTTTTTATTATTTTCTATCTAATTTATTAATTTATCTGTATAATACTTTTAATTTAGTTGTATTTAATTTTTAGGGGGATAGTGGAAAAAAAAGGAAAATTAAGACTGTAATTTCTCTTATTCTATATACAACTATGTATGGTCTTGTTAAATACCAATAAAAAAGTGACAGATTTTCTTACTTGAACCATTAAAATTATCTTTGAAAAGATAATAAAATAAAAGTGAATTTAATTTGCAAAACAGAAAATAGAAGCTTTTTTTTTTTTAACCAATGTTTCACACTTTCAGACCACCGACACTATTTCCTTTCACTAAATCAGTAAGCTTTACTCTACTTTTGGATTTTAAACGGATCGTTTGACAAAAAAAAGAAAATTTACTCATTTCTTACTGTCAAGTGTTTTTATTCTGTTGAACACAAAAGAGATATTTAAAAAAAGCTGAAAGCCTGTAGCCATTGACTTCCATAGAAGAAAAAACAAAAAGTCAATAGTTACAGGTTTCCAACATTTCTCAAAATATCTCTTTTGTGTTTAACAGAAGAAGGAAACTCAAACAGGTTCCTAACAAGCAAAAAGAGAGTAAATGATGACAGAATTTTAATTTATGGGGTGAACCATATCCCTTTAAGAGGTTAGACTACACACATGCATACTGTAAAACATCTGATTCAAATGAAAAGATCTTTTCAAGCACCCTCACAAAATCAAATCAATGATACACACAAAGCTCGGCCAGCTTAACTTTCACAAACAGGAAGAGATTTCACCACAATGCTTAACTTCTTGAATTATAGCTCAAAGCCCGAGCACATGATTCTTTCCAGATCAAACTATCCATCGGCCAATCCCTGGAGAAAGCCAAAGCGGCGACCCAGAGGTTTGCACAATTACATAAACTCTTTTCGTTCAGAGTTCACTGCCCACTAAGTGACCAGCGAGAACAATGGAGCCGTACAAATGATCTGTCACCGCGTATCCTCAGGCTGTCCACACACAAACCCTGTCAAAACAAATGGCTGACGGACAATGGGACGAGACATTAGTGCATTCCACCCCCGACTGATGTCCCACGAAACATTCCCCATGGAAAAAAAAACAACAACAGAGGCTCGTCCACCTGTGGGAAAACCTTCTTAAAGGGATAGTTCACCCCCAAAAAATAAAAATTCTGTCATCATTATTTCACTGCTGAGGCAGATTTATACTTCTGCGTCGAGTAATTGCCATGACCCACGGTGCCTGTCATGTGCGTACTTGCTGTTTGTGTTCTCTGCAATAACACTTCAGAAACGCTAGCTGTCATGTGGGTTTTTATGTTCCTCTGTGTCGAGTTTCTTAGCGGGTGTTCTGTTTTTTCTGAGCGCTACGTTAATGTACAAGCAGCTAAAACTTGCTCATTCAGAGGCGGGAACCGGTGGACGTGCAACAACTTTAATCATAAGGTAAACACAAAACAAAACTTTCCATCTGGAGCTTCTTCACGAGACTCGACACTTGTAAACACTTGCTCCATCAGGCTCTCAGCACCGCCCACATGTGTCACCACTACCAAGTCGACCAATCACAGAGCATGCTCTACGTATTGTTACATTTTTGAGAGGTGCGCATCAGAATCGGCATCGACATTAGCCACAGCAAGGGCTATGCTACCGAGCTAAGGCTGCACCGGACCATACGAGTGCGCTTGACGCAGAAATAGAAATCAGCCAAGAGTTTAAGTGTCTGTTGCACTCAAAAGAAAAGATTTTCAAAAATGTTGGAAACCTGAAACCATTGACTTCTATAGTATTTGTTTCTCCTACTATGGAGGTCAATGGTTACAGGTTTCCAACATTTTTCAAAATTGTGTATAACAGAAGAAAGCCATGAATGTTTGGAACAAGTAAAGGGTGAGCAAATGATAAAATTTTCATTTTCCAACTATTTTGGGACAGTTCCCCAAAAAATTTACTCTTCTACCATCATTTACTTTCTTTAGATTTGAGTTGTTTTGTTCTGTTAAACAGATATAATTCCATTGTTGTTGTTTTTTTAATGAAATACATATTCAATACATTTTTATTATAATAATAAAAGCTTTTTATTTTATTACAGTCAATGATTAGAAGGCCGAGGCAGTGGCGCAGTAGGTAGTGTTGTCGACTCACAGCAAGAAGGTCGCTGGTTGGAGCCTCTGCTCAGTTGGCTTTTCTGTGGGGAGTTTGCATGTTCTCCCTGCGTTCGCGTGGGTTTCCTCCGGGTGCTCTGGTTTCCCCCACAGTCCAAAGACATGCCATACAGGGGAATTGGGTAGGCTAAATTGTCCGTAGTGTATGAGTGTGAGGGTGTGTGTGTGTGTGTGTGTGTGTGTGTGTGTGTGTGTGTGTGTGTGTGTGGATGTTTCCCAGAGATGGGTTGCTGCAGGAAGGGCATCGCTTCGTTCAAACGTGCTGAATAAGTTGGCGGTTCATTCCGCTGTGGTGACCCAGCAATAATAAAGGGACTAAGCCGACAAGAAAATGAATGAATGAATGATTTGAAACAACATTAATTTTGATGCATTACATTTGAGAAGTGTCACATAATAAGCCAGCACTCACACACATATTTTTTTCAATATATACATATAGGAAACTCCCAATATCAAGATCAATACATGCGTACAATTTTCATTTCTATTAATTTAGACCACAGTGCATAATATATGCAGAACAGGCCATTTATTTGCAACCTTTAAAAAAACGAATTGTTAATATTAAAGTTAACATTTTGAAGCCTTGCCCAAAAAAAAAAAAAAAAAAGAAAAAGTCTATATACAGTTGAAATCAGAATTATTTATCCTCCTTTAAACACTATTTGTCGAACCGGATGCAAATTCTTTTTGTGAAGGATGAAAGTTTCGGAGGCAGTGTGTAAATGTGATTGACACAATGTAAGGTTGAAGTTATTTAAATTTCAGACAAATACCCAATGAATTCAAGGATGCACAAGGGCTCAAAATAATAACAAAATTCAAACAAACAAAAATGTCCATAAAGGCTGCTTATCATATACAGTTGAAGTCAAAATTATTCGCCCTCCTAGGATTTTTTTTCTTTTTCAAATATTTCCCAATGAATGTTTAACAGAGCAAGGAATTTTTCACGGTATCTACTATAATATTTTTTCTTCAGTAGAAAGTCTTATTTGTTTTATTTCGACTAGAATAAAAGCAGCTTTTAATTGTTTAAACACATTTTAAGGTCAATATTATTAGCCCCCTATATTTTTTTTCAATTGTCTACAAAACAAACCATCGTTATACAATAATTTGCCTAATTACCCTAGCTTCGCACTTTAAGCTGAATACTAGTTCAAGTTCATTTATTTATGAAACATATTAAAAAGTCACAAGACTGACCAAATTGCTGTATATAAGTTAAAGTAAAATAAAAAAGACAGAATATAAAACCATAAAAATAAGCCATGGGAATCAACTGGAAAATTAAGCAGTACAAAAAACTATTAAAATAATATTAAAAAGCCAAGCTAAATAGGTACGTTTTAGGAGTGATTTAAAAATAGATAGTGATGGAGCCATTCTAATCTCAAGGGGAAAAGTGTTCCACCACCGAGAAAGCTCTGCCCTGAATACTAGCATCCTGGAAAATATCTAGTACAATATTATGCACTGTCAACATGTCAAAGATAAAAGAAATCAGTTATTAGAAATGAGTTATTAAAACAAAATATTTTTTTAATCAGAAATTGAGGAAAAATGTACAGGGGGGCTAATAATTCAGCAGGGCTAATAATTCTGAATTCAAGAGTATGATGTTTGCATTAACAGCCAAAATGACTAGAAGCACTAAAAAAAGAAAAGCACAAAGATGTCCATAAAGCAGCACAAAAGAAGCTGTTTTTTTCTGCTGGCTGACGCTTTGCATGTGAAACCTGTTGGGGAAGCTCCCCGCTGAGCATCTGCTTGGATGCATGTTGAAGCTGTAAATAACCCTGCAAGCTTGGCTAACGTTTTCCTGCAGAATGAGCCGCTGCTTGTCTGACACACCTGAAGAAAACAATGAGCCGCTACTCACATGTCTGTAGCCCAGGGAAATGTCCCCAGACACTTCTCCCGCCAGCGCTGCGCACCCGGCCGGACAGTACTTCCTACACGGGCCAGAAACAAAGACAAATATCGGCTTACAACACATGTTAATTATAGCTGGCGGCTCTGGGGAGATAAAGCAGCGGATGGTGCGTTGATAATAGATGAGTGAGAAACTAAAATTATAAGGAGTGATGAGATACAGTCTGGAAAGATGACTATTACCTTGGGTTAGGTTGTTTATTATGTAATGTCTTGTGGGTTAGATTGAATTCAGTTGAGTAGTTTGTGGAGAGTTTAGCGTGATGTATGTGGAATATTCACTATATATTAAACATGCTTTTGAGATGATGTAAATGCATGTAATTTTTTGAGTGTGTCATTTGACTGGTTTTATAATTCTCTCTTGATTCATGCATGAATTGTGATTGAATTGTCATTTGAGCCTGAATTATTTTTAATAAGACTTTATATTATACTACTATTATATTAATATTTTATTATATGATAACAATATTACATACATTTTTAAATTAAATTACATTTAAATATTTTAAATAACATGAATATTAGCAGTACTAATAGAAATTATAGCAAAGCTATATCATTATTATTTTAATATTATAAATCAATTATTATTATGTATATTATTATGAACTGTTATACATTTAAAACACTTATTACTATTAATGTTTAGATTATTATTAAATAATAGTATTATTTGTTATTATTTTTGACTAAGTATCAATATCATCATCATATGATTTCAGTACACATTATTGTGCAACTTTTTAAAGACAATAAAATTGTATTGTTTCCACTGAGTGGTAAGGTACGGTATGTTTTTATGGCCGTTTCCACTGTCAAAAGGTACCAAAAAGCAAACCGTACGGTACCACTTTTTGGGTATCGTTTTCAAAGGGTACCTAGCACAACAAAAGGGAACCAAAAGGTGGAGCAAGACGAGCAGCTGAACACTATTGGTTTACAGAGATACGTCACTCGCTCGTGCAACAAGTCCGGAAAATGAAAACAAAGGAAGGGGCATTTTTAAATACACAGCTGAGACAATACATCGTAATAATATATACATATAAAAACAAGCTATGGTCGACCCAAGCACAAACAAACCTTGTCGTTGTCTTGATGAACAGCCAAAAAACCAAAAAGAATAAAATCTCCCATGTCCTGTTTTTGTTTTACGAGGCCGTCTAAAAGTGTGGGAGGTTTCATTTTCTCCATAGAACTCGTAATCGCGTCTATGTTTGAAGTTACGAACTTTTTGAGCTGATGATAATATCGTGCGCATGATTATTTAAGTGCTTCTGACATCCAATTCCTTCAGAAATGGACAAACGCAAGAGGGAAGTGCAAAAAACAAAACAAAAGAACATATGATTCTCTTAGCTGCCTTAAAATGAACAAACTGCCATGTTTAACTATTATAATCGCCTTTTGGACTATTACGAACTTGGAATGATGGAATTACTTTCTAACAGAGGTTACATGTGCTGGTGAAGATTAAAGATACAGATGAGAGGTTTGCTCTGACATGTTGCATGTTGTTTTTGAACCCAAATAAGGACTAAATGTATGCTGCGTGTAGTTCTTCTGTAATTGATAACGTATCAGAGATGGTAAGGGGCTGTATGCATTCATATATGTTACATTTATTTATTTATTTTATACAATTGCAGACGTTACAGTAGGCTATTTCGCCCTATCATTGATAAGCAACTATAATCAAATGATGTTCATAGAAAAGTTGGTAATGAACATTTATACACTAGTCTTTATGTGTATAAAGCATCTGTTTTGTGATAAGTGCTACTCATAAGATATGTGACTGACCTGTACAGCTTTACTTTGACATTTTCTCAAGCGAGAATGACACCGACTGAAACTTTTCAATTCCATTTCGTACCATTGGTAACCTTATGGCGGTGGAAAAGCATGCCTGATAAAAGTTACACATACCGACCATTACTCTACCATCCTGTACCACTCAGTGGAAACGGGCCATTATTGTTATTATTATTTCAATCTCAATGTAAACATTGTACATTCATGCATATTTTAATATTAAAATTTGCTTTGAAAAATATTTGTTCTGCTCAAAGCTACAGAAATAGAACTATTATGAACTTATTAATCTAATTTTAATATTATAATATATTATATGAATCATCATTAATTTAAAACTATTTTTATGATTAATATTTATTATTATTATTATTATTTTTGTCAATTAAGTATCAGCATCATCATTATATGATTTAATTACATATTACAGTGCAATATTTTAAAGACAATAAAATAATAATAATATTGTAAAAAACAAATGCATGCATATTTTAATATTAACATCTATTAGGAAAATTACAAAAAATACAATGAAACAGTAATAAAAAACATTTATTATTATAAATAAGTTGCTTTATTCAGAATATAAATTATACAATAGATTATAAATAACATACAATAACATTACCTTATTTATTTAGCTAGAGTAAACTTATAATTTCCTTTCTTTCTTTTATATCCTCACCTGTATTTTGCTGTTGTAAAATGACTGCCTCTGTCCAAGCATGTCAGCAGTTCTGAGGAGGAAAGCAGAGGAGGACACACACAATGAGGGTAAATATGGAGCAGATGAGAAGTGTCTCCACAAAGGAAACAGGCCTCGACTCAACAACAACAATAAGAACAACAGGACATGAGCATCACAACAGGATGACAGAACCACTTCCTGCATTTCCATGTCTGAGCTGGAAATGTATACACACTTAAACATAAACCCCAACTCACACTAACATGAGAAGGTCACACAATGACCATAGAGTGTCAAGCACTTAAAAACCTTATTATTTACAGACCAATGTGTATATGCACCTGGCAGAAAAATCTATAGATAGAACGCACAATATAAGGAATGATAATTAGATTAATTCAGATTAATAGAAGATCAACAGAATAAAAATACACAACAGAATAATGTTTAGAATGAGCGATAGAACAAGAGTTAATGCTAGATGCAACAACTGATAAACATTAGTAAAAGAGATGACAGATGTGTTGTGTGTTAATGAGACCCAAAACAGATAATTAAAAAAAAATAATAATAAGGGTTAAAATAAACGGCATGCACAACAAAAGGCAGACAGACTAAAGAACAACAGTGAGTGACATTAAATGTCAAAATGAATGACAGATCAAGAGCAAATGAATGATGCATAGGAATGATAAGTTAACAGAAACAATATATAGGCACACAAGTGGTACAGAACACACCAAACAAATGATATATAGACAGAACATAACAGAAAAAAAAATGTCAGAAAATAAAATGACAGAATGAATAACAGATGAATAACAGACAGGATGAAATTACCAGCAACAGAAACAGAGAGCGAAGGAACAAAATGACAAACATTACGAATGACAAATTAGCAGAAAAAACAAATGACAGACAAAACTAATGATAGACAGAGAGAAAGACAGAACAAACTACAGACAGAAATAATGACAAGACAAAAAAAAAGAGACAGACCAAAAACAAATAGACAGAACAAATGGCAAAAACACAACAAAGAACAGACAAAACAAATAGCAAAAACAAAACAAACGACAGACAAAACAAATAGCAAAGACAGAACAAATGACAAAGACAGAACAAACGACAGACAAAACAAACAGAAAAAACAAAAGTCAAAGAAAGAAACACGCATCAAAGACAGAACAAACAACAGACAAAACAAATGGCAAAGAACCGACAACCGACAAAACAAATGGCAAAGGCAGAACAAATGATAGACAAAACAAATTTCAGACAGAACAAAAGCAAATGGCAAGAACAGAACAAACGACAAAGACAGAACAAATGACAGACAAAACAAATGGCAAAGACAGACCAAAGAACAGACAAAACAAATGGCAAAGGCAGAACAAACAACAAACAGACAAAATAAATGACAGGCAGAACAAACAAAACAAAGGCCAGACAGACAAAAACAAATGACAGACAACAAACAAAACAAATGTCAGAAAAAAGAGATAGAAAAAACAAAGAATAACAAACAAACAACAGACACAATAAACGACACAAAAAAGCGGACAATACAAAGGACATATAGACAGAACATTAACCGAACAATCAGCGAACAAACAAAACATCCAACAGACAGAACAAATTACATATATAGAAGAAAAGATAAGCAACAGACAGAATGAATGACAGATCTTCCAGAGTATGACAAAGAAAGCATATAGCACAAAAGAAAATGAGAACGAACAAGACAGAACAAACGACACACAGGCAGACAAAACAAAAGACAGGCAGAAAAATTAAACACAAAAACAACAGACGACAAGCAAAACAAATGAGACAACAAACAAAACAAATGCTAGACAAAACAAACAGATAGAACAAACAAACAAAAAACAAACGAATGTCAAACAAATGACAGAAACAAATAACAGACAAAACAATCAGACAATACAAAGGAGAGATAGACAGAACAATAACAGAACAAACAAAACAAACAACAGACATATAGAGAAGAAAGAAGCAACAATAAATGACAGACCTTCAAGAGTATGGAAAAGAAAGCAGACAGCACAAATGACAGACAGAACGAAGAGAATGAACTAAATAAAGATAGAAGATCACAGATAGACCTTGACATTCCTCTTTTTTTTGCATTTCATTGGAGAATGAAAGTCATCCAGCTTTAGAACAACATAAGGGTGAATAAAACCCAACAGCCTTTTCATTTCTACATCAATTATATTTTTATCAATTGCTCTGTTGAGTTCAAACATGTCGTTTAAAGAAACATCCCAAAAGGATCCAAAAGCATCTCAAGAACGAAAAGGGAACAAGCCACAGAGCAGAGGTTTACATGAGGGTCAACCAAGAGACAAGAAGGGGCTGATAATTCAGGAGGGCTAATAATTCCGACTTCAACTGTATGTAATGTACAAATGTATGTACAACGTAATGTTAAGGTGATACACACTTAAACTTTTACAGTATGGATACCTTTGTGGTTTTCTGTGGAGTAGGAAAGCAGGAATCCTCTTCCAGTGATGTGTTGGCTGCTGCGAAAGCGAATGGTCAGCTCATTGGAGTCTGTGTGAAGCTGTGAGGGCTTGGGCATTGGATCACCACAGTACTCCCAGTACACTAGGAGAAATGAAAGCAAGTGAAGGACAATTAATAAAAGATTAATCAGAATCATATTGAGGTATTATTAGGGTATTACAGTAGCAGTGAATAAATGAAACGATCCAAGAATAATAGCGCTTTTACAATGTAGATTGTATCAAAGCAGCTTAACACAGAAGTTCTAGAAAATTGAGAGTGCTTCAGTCCAGTTTTCGGAGTTAAAGTTCAGTTTAGTTCAGTTCAGTGTGGTTCAATTTTCACTGCTGAAAATCCAAACACTGAAGAGCAAATCCATCAATGCGCAGCTCCACAAGTCCCAAACCAAGCAAGTCAGCGGTGACAGTGACAAAGAAAAAAACTTCACCAATTGACAAGGGAAAAAACTCAAGAGAAACCAGGCTCAGTTGTGCACGAAAAATACAATGGAAGTCAACAATGAACATCAACTATAAAACTTGAATAAACTTGACATAAATTGTTGGCAAATGTTTGGTGAAGATCAATTTATTCGATTTATTTTCAGTTAATACTTAATGTATAATGTGTGTTGCAGTTTATATTTAAAAATGCATATAAATAACATATAACATATACAAATGGAACGCGTAGCATTAATCAGTACAGCCCCCCAATCATTCAAGTGGGTGCATTTGAAAGGCATGAGCATGTCACACCGCTTGTGTGCACAAGCGGCGCACCTCCATTGGAAATAAAAACTTGTACGAACTCTAGAAAAGCGATATGCAAACTGCTCCTAAAAGGCCGCCGTCATTTGCGATCTCCAGCAGTTGATCTTCTTGCACCGACATGCTGGATTCACCTGATTTGTTGACAATTGGGTTGCGGATTTATTCCTTATCAGTTTGTGGGTCCTTCACTGGGCCTTTTCCCCTTAGCAAAGAAACTTTCTAAAGACATTTGTTTCTTAATCATGTAAGCGAGAGAATACAGTCATTTTTCAAAATAAAAGATTTTTCAAAATAAAAGATCGTTTAAATTCAGATAATGAATAAAAATAAAATAATTAATGATTTCTTGTGCGGCCCGCACCAATTAAGTCATGGACCGTTGAGGACAACTGCACTAAAATAAAATTCTGGTCACCTAATGCCTTTGAAATAGAAAGATAATATATTTAAATTCAAAATAAAAGTTATTGCTATATATATATATATATATATATATATATATATATATACATATATATATATATATATAAATAAAATAAATTTATATATATATATATATATATATATATATATATATATATATATGAGCAATATTACACGAGTAGCAGTGCGATATGGCTGTATATCAGCTCTGGTGGGAGGCGTTGTCTTTTAAACTTTGGATCTGTAGTGTCTGCTTTTTGCTGGTTGTATGTGGGCGGAGTAATACACAAAAGGGTAAAGAGGCTGTAGGAGTTCTGATATTGCAGAATATCGTACTGAATATAGAAAAGTGTGTGTGTGTGTGTGTGTGTGTGTGTGTATATACACATATATAATTTTTTAAAGGTATTTTGAAAAATAAACTGCAAAGCAAATTATACATTAAATGAAAACGAATAACAAATTAAATTGCTTATTCATTCTACATTTGCCTGCAATTTGTCAACATATAAAGGAAATAAAAACAGTACATCAACAAAGCAGATCATTTGTTTTGTTTCATTTTGGGTTTTTTCAAATCATTTTGGGTTGAGAACCCAAAGCACAGTTCTCAGGTCATCTAAAGTCTGCAAAAACATCCATTTATAAATGAGTTTTGAAGGACTTTTCTGACACAGGTGGCAGGTGCTGACACTAAAGAATTACACGGTCAGCCTCAATAACGTGCTGATGAGCACTGATGAGAATCAAAACACTTGCATCTATAAACCATGATGGGCGTCCACAGCAAAGGCTCAACAAACCAAGAAGTGTGAATGACACAAGTGTCAAACTCTGCACCACCACAAAGCTTCAGTCATCCCGTCTCTCAACCGCAATTTAAAAATCACAGGGAGAGGAATTCCAGCCATTCGTCGGCAGGATGCTTTGATCAGTGGATGTGGCGGAGGCTCGACTCTGACACCATGACAGCGTTTGTGGTTAAAGGGCTGCCAGACGAGGACCCAGACTTAGTGTGGGAAGATTCATGTGCTGCAGGCTTTTCTGCAAATGCTGTTAGTATTGTACACTGATCATTACTGCATCAGTTGGAATTTAAAATATACACACACACCACTCTGTTTTACCAGAATAAGCTTTCAATGTTAATGATTTAATGGTACGCTTCTACCTTTATCAGATTTTCTTGTTGCGATTTGCTAAAGCTTTCACATTTCCAGGTTTCTCATTAGAAGTTGTCATATTTGGGTAAACTTGGAGCGCAGTGAATGGGAGACTACAAATTATTATTTTTTAAATCCCGTTTGCTGGAATAATAAAATAAAAACTCCACGATGGTGTTATCAAGACTTTCAAAGACAGGAAAGAAAATTCTATGAGACTGATGACCGTAGCCAGAAGAGAAAATAATGTCAAATTTATTGTCCTGCCCCATAGACGATGCATTAGAAATGCCTTGCATAAGGAGTTATTTGTTTTTTGTAATACGATGTAAAGATGATATAATATATCAAAAATGCATATAAATAAAAAATAAAGAGATTAAAAACTTTTAAGCATTTAAGATACTGATGACCGTTAAATGCTCGGGTCCATTGACCTCAGCTAAAAAAAATATTTGAATTAAGATGCAAAGATTATATAATACATACTTAAATGCATATAAATGTTCCATGTTTTTTTTTATCAAAAGATTAAAAACTTTCAAGCATTTAAGAAACTGATGATCATTAAATGCATCATAACAGTCTTGTAAACGTGTCCACTGACCTCATCTGCAAAAAAAATATTACTTTAAGAGGTACAATAACCCAAAAAAACTTGTGTATTGTTTTATTCTATATAAACATTAAGATTAAAAAAATGTTTGAAATTAATTAAAATAAGGATTATAAAGTACACTGTACAATAGATAACACTTTAAGTCTTTAGTAAACATTAATGCATTACATTCAATGGGAGCCATATTATAATTATAAGTTAACTTAATAATAAAATTATTTACTAAGAGTGCAACTTTTGCTTTAAATGCACTAAAAATGACCATCAGCTAAGATTAGTGAATGCTTTTTAGGTGTCATTACACTAACTTCTTCAGTTCAATTAATTAATAAAACTTAACTGTACAGAGTTAATGAACATTCATTCATTCATTCATTTTCCTTCCGCTTAGTCCCTTTATTCATTAGGGGTCAGCACAGTGGAAAGAACCACCAAGTAATCCAGCATATTATTCATTAGGGGTCAGCACAGTGGAAAGAACCACCAAGTAATCCAGCATATGTTTTACGCAGCAGATGGCCTTCCAGCTACAATGAAGTACTGGGAAGCACCCATACACTCTCACATTTACACTCATACACTACTGCTAATTTAGTTTATTTGATTCATTGATACCGCATCTTTGTACTGTGGGGGAAACCGGAGCATCCAGAAGACAACCAATGTAAACACAGGGAGAACATGCAAACTCCACACAGAAATGCCATCTGGCCAAGCCGGGACTTGAACCAGCGACCTTCTTGCTGTGAGGCAACAGTGCTAACCGCTGAGCCACCATGCTGCCCGAGTAAATGAACAATAGGCCTATAAATAGTCACATCATTTTCAATGTTGTAGGCCAGATTAAAATGTTTGAATGTTTGAAAATAAATTAAGTTTTCAAGCATTTAGTGCTGCGATGAACAACCACTGCAAATACAACAATCAGAATGTTGCTAAAAGAATCTCTAAGTTTAAATAATAAACACATGATTATTCAGGGTATTTCGAAGTGCCAATATCAATATTGTGCATGTTTATTATCACAATATACTGAACTATTGAATATCGGCACGTCTGTTTAATGGTGCACGCAGACTCAAAAAGAGCAGTCACTCTTTTCTGGCCAGGATGACCAAGAAAGCCCTCGGGTTTAGTGCTGAAAGGTGATAGCCTAACAAGACAGAAGAGTCCATTCACCTAAACCGCAATATCCTTTTCCCTTCCCATCTATCACTGACAAAGCAGTAGGTGCTGGGAACATTCATTCACACAGTGGTACAGGTGTAACCTAGGGTTATACTGCACTGAAAATAATGATTCATTGGATTTGCTGAATCTTTTAAAGGTAAGTGGTTGCAAACAAAGTTATATAAGCAGAATTAAAACAAAAATAAGTTGAACATCACTACATTTAACTTGTTTGTTTAATTTAAATTGTGTGCAACCATTTACCTTAAAACATTTTTGCAAATCCAATGAATCATTTTTTCAGTGAGGGATTCTGGAGATGAATTTCTCACTTTTAGGGTCTTTTTGACCAGACAGAATTGCTCACTTTGTTGATATTTCCATGCAGAACTTTGTTAAATAAAATCTGCAGATTTATCCAGAATGATTTTAAGAGAATAAGAGCTGAAAATTTAACACATGAAAATAAAACATAATAACTGTTAAACGTTTATTTAAGGTTTTGCTAATCCATTTTGAACCACTTGTTTGGTAAACAAAGCTTTGGTTAATCTCATACACTCAAAAAAGACATTTGTTGTTTGTTCAAACTACTTGTTTAAAATGAGCTGAAACAACACAAATATTGAGTTTTTTGGGGGGAACGCTTAATTGTTTCATGTTTAATCCACTTACATTTGTAAAAGTTAACTTAATTTCTTAATGGTGTCCCAACACAAATAGATTGTGGAACCCAGCATTTTTTACAGTGTATAATATACCTACAAAGTGAGAAAGTGTTGGTTTAAAAACTGCATTGTACAAAATAAATCAACTAAATATTTCATTATTATTATTATTATTATTATTATTAAACAATATTAATTAAATTATTATCAAAATTCAATAAATATATATGCATATTTACTAACAAGTAGATCAATAGATTGAATGATGGGCTCAAACATCTATGGAAAACTGCTAAGTTTTCTGCAGATTTCTCTGGATGCAGATTCTCTGTGGGCATACCAATGGCTAATGTTTTTTTTTTAAATGACTTAAATTGTTCAAAATGCACAATGTTTGACCATGCACCCAGAAACTTATCTAACTTTATAAAATTTTTGATTGTGTGGAAGTAACCACTTAGGCTTTTATTTAATCTCACCGCTGGAATTAGTTTTTGTTAATATGATTTTCAATTGTTTTGGTTTACTGATGGCTAGAAGACAGCATAATGTGTAATGTATAGAGCGTTAAAGACTTTTGAACTTAAAAGAGAGTTTAAGATGTAGGAATAAATCAAATAAAACTAAACTGGCAAAACAGAAATCTGAATTCATTTAAAAATCCTTTGCCTTCATTGAATTAAAGATGCATTCAGCCCATAACTCAACAAATAGTTCTATTTAAGCACAGTGTGCATTAATACATATCAATTGCCTCGAAACATTGAATGTTTTACCACATTTCTATGAATCAATTATTTTGAACCAATTCTAAACTGTAAAATGATGTTCACCTAATCTCATTGTGGAAAATATTTATTTAAATACATTTTGCATTTTTACCAGGTTGTGGTGATGACTACAGAAGAAAGCATCAAGCTCAATGTCCAGCGTTTAGTCCTTTATTGGGGAAAGAACCATTTATGGTCATTTCATTCATTGTCATAAAAGTTCAAAAGTTTTGTAATAACCCCCAATAACACTTCAGGGGGTTTCCAATGAGTACTTCAATGAGTGCCCTGCAAAAGGGGTAACATGTTTGAACTGTAAATGAGCGTATAATGTTGAACTGGATCAAACAAAAACTAAATTTGCAAATTCGTGAAATGAAATATTTATTTACAATTATTTTAAACAAACAGGCTAGATTTCCTTTCTGAAACATTCTGGTTCGATTACACTGGAATATAACCAATCCACATCTCCATGAGTTAAACCAATTTCAACACATTCTTGATTGTAAAGGATCAACCACTAATATATTAATCTAATGTCATTGTGGAAAATATTTTTAAATTCCATTCTTTATTTTTACCAAGGTGTGGTGATGTCTGCAGAAGAAAGCATGAAGCTCAATATTCAGAGTTCAGTGCTTAATTGAGTAAAGAGCCATATATGGTAACTTCCTTCATTGTCATAAAAGTTCAAAAGTTTTGTAATAACCTTCAGGGGTTTTCCAATAATTAATTTAATGATTGCCCTATAAAGAGTTAGCATTTTTTAACAGTAAACAAGTAGAAGCCACAGTCATGTTGCACTTCTCAGTCCATAGACTTCAAATGCGGCAGACTGAAAACTTAAGCTCATGCGACAAGTTTCACAATCCACTGCATTGGAAAGTTCAAGCTTGGTGCACACTGACATACGAAATCGCATCACATGACAGCCTGAGACCAATCAAAGATAAAAACATAACCTCTCTGTACAGAAATTAAATACGGGCCAATCGCTCAATTATTTTTAAATGTCTAATCATCTTGGTTAATCCCGCCCCTTTTCGCAGTGCTGTACAACAGAATTATGCATGCTTTAACTCTAGTGTGATCGTGACATTAAATGATGAATTAAATCAAACAAAAACAAACATTGGCAAATTTTAAAAAATTCTTTCCTTTTTTTTTTTTAAACAAACAGGCTAGATTTCCATTCTGAAACACTCTTGAGTCAATTTAACTGGAATATTACTAGGCCCACACGAAATCTGCCTGATTTCTGCTGATTTTTAACCCATCATTGAGTCTATTTATTTACTTGTATAAATGTGTGTAAATTTATTACATTTTCTAGTTAATTTCAGTTATATTATTGATCAATATGAAAATGTTCATTTGATTTATTTACTGTACAGTTTGTAAAGTCATATTTTCTGTCTTTTAGTAGAGATATTATATAAGACTTGCAAATAAGTGGATAGAATTGGATTTCCAGTGTAAACAATAAATCAAAGTTAATAAGGTATTATTTTTAAGTTCATATGTTAAGTTTTTTTTTTTTTTTTCTAGCAGAAATAGCAAAAAACTATTCTGAAGATGTTTTCAACAAGGTGAGCCTGGAACTTTGCAAACAAAGTTTGTGTCTTACTAATTTCTCTAGCTTGTGGGTTAAATTTTGGTGGTCAAGCGACCAATAAACCAATAAAAGATTTTTCCACATTAAAGATCATTCAGGCTCTTAATAGTAAATAAAACTAAAATAATTAAAGATTTTGCTTTTGCGGCTGGGTACCAATTGATGGACGGTCCATCACTGGCTTAATCTATATAAATATAAAGTGACTTACTTAGCTTGCACAAAGTAAAATATAAGAGTTATGATATTTTCAAAGACAATAAACATTGCACAACTCTAAACTGAAACGCATTTGTTTGCCAATTTACTGTAAATTTGTTTAAAATAGTAAGCTTGTTTAAAAAAGAAAGCTGATAGGTGACTAAATCCTTTCGGAAACAGGCAGGATTGTCCACATTTCACAAAAAACTCCTCCCATACATTGGCTTTTCTGGTTTCCTCTTGCTTTACAGTAAACTTACCAATGCATGACTGGTGGCGACTCATTAAAGCATTGCGATGAATTGTGCTTTACTCATGTTTACTAAGAGTAATGTGATCCAGAGGAGTTTTAACTGACTAAAAATGATTGCGCAAGAGATTACAAATAGACTTACAATTAGATTTGTAAATACTCGCTGTTTCCAACAGGATTCTGTTTCACTGATACAACCAACAGCATCAGGACTGAATCTATGCACTGAACCAAAGTTTGTTTATCCGAAGCAGCAAAACTTGAATGAATATTCATTTTGTCAAAAGACAAACCCCTTAAAACAAAAGAGGCAATGGCACAAGTTGCCTTGATAGCATCTGGTTTTAATCAACAGACTAACAATATAGTGAACACTGGGGAAGAAATTCAATGACTCAGAAAGCAACAACACATAAATGTTCATCACATGACAAAAGTGATTGAAAACTTACCATTTTCTGAACCATAGGATCCCTTCAAAACCTTTAAATAGTCCGACTCACAGTCCCTCTTCTTCATGTCCAGGTCTCCAAACTTGAGGATGATTGTGTGGCCGATGGGTACACGGATCCGCCATTCACACCAGGAATTGTTGGGATACGTTCCTGGGTAATTTTTGGAGGACAGAACACCACTCTCTTGTCCCAAAACATAATGACCACAGCCATCGTCTGTAAAAGAAATGAGGATTATTAGTAGGGGTGTAAAGCTATGGCACAATAAATCAGAAAAATAGCACAAAATATTAATGCACCCATGTGTTTTGTGGATTTAAATGATATGACTTGTGATATTGAGCTTTTTTTTTTTCCAGAAGCTAGCTTACTGTAGGGATAATTCCTCCAAAAATGTCGATTTCATCTTCATGTACTATGTTGCACAATGGCTGCGAAATCTCATTGTGAGCTGATGTACTTAAGTCTATAAAATAGTTTTACATTTGAACTCATAGTAGATCTTCAAATTAAAATATTATTGTTGTTGTTTTTACTATTGGATTGAGAAACAACAATACTACAGTTAAACGATTTTTTTACAACGTACAATATCAAGATAAAACTGTATTGTTAGTTCAGTATCGAGATACGTATCGAATCGCAACTTGTGTATCGCTACACCCCAAATTATTTGTAGCAATAAATAAAATTCATTGAAATTTAGGAGACTCAGTCAAGTGTCACACGTTATCATTTAATACTTTAATAATGCAAAGCCCTTTGTTTTAGAGAGAAACTTTGGATGCCTTGTCTTTTTTATTCCTGTTTATGTAAATCACTTTGAATTGCCACCGTGTATGAAATGTGCTATATAAATAAACTTGCCTTGCCTTGCCTTGCCTTTACAATTGTATTTGTTTTAGTTTCTTTCAAAACGGTGTGTTTCATTGCTAAAAAGCTCATAAGTTGGAATTTGTTTGAATGTTGATGCTGAATGTTATTTCGTTTGAATTTTATCAACAAATATTCAGCAAAGCTCCATGTTGTTTTTTCCCCAAACACATTCATATCATTTGTTGGTGCCATTTAGGGTTGTAACGGTATGAATTTTTCACGGTATGATAATCGTCTAAAACAATACCACGGTTTGACGGTTTCGCGGTATACGGTATGTTACAAATGTTACAAAATAATAGAACAGTGAAGCAAATTTGACTTTTTCCAAATAATATATTTTTAGTTACTATAAACAACACCACTTACAATGAACAAATAAAAATAAGAAAATAATAAATAATGTGTCAAAGTCCAAATAAAGTCCAAATAAACATGGTGCAAATCCTCAGTAAAAAATAGATATAAATATTTACTATACTATAAATAGTTACATAACGAAACTAGATTCAATATGGAACATCCTTAGGTTTTATGTGCCAGCATGGATATGGTTGTCTATCGATATGGATTTGGATATGGTTGTCTGCAATGCAAACAAACAGCTGCATCTTTATTTGCGTCTTTTGAAAACAGCAAGAGCAGCAGTTCGTCTTTGCTGTGTCACTGTTTTGTCATGTTTCTGTTCTGCTGTGCATGCAAAAGTATTTAGTATGAGAATTATTTCATGCAAAACTTTTTTTTTTGCGTTTTATTTAGCCGCGCATAAATGTATGCCTATCTCTCATTCCGTGTTGTTCAAAAAGCTTGGTCCACAAACAAAAGCGAAACCTATGCTTATTGGTTGTGATATAGCGAGTTTGAACCAATCTGGGCATGGAGGAAGGACAATGCATCAATGTATCATGTCTGATTTGTCCGGAGACACAGTGACGAGCGTTTCTTTGTGAAATCAGCGTTGTCAAATGTTGATGACGTAACCGCACTGATTCCGGAGCCTCTGAAAGTCCGCGAATGTTATGTGATACAGCACTAGAAAGCTGAGATTCTCTTCTTTATGCCAATCTTTGAATTGTATGAATCGGATCAGCGGATCAAAAGTTATTAAACATTTAAGAGCAATACTTATTTTAGCCGCAGGCGGCTGTCTCGGTCTTTAAGGGTTAAAACCGTTGATATGCAATTGTTCATGGTATGATAATCGTGCACGTTCAAATCGTGGTAAACCGTCATACCGGTATATTGTTACAACCCTAGTGCCATTTTATGCGTGTGCAAGTACGTAATGTCAAATTTTAACACTTATTATTACAGCGTTTCTGTACATTGTGAAACAATGTTACATAAGACTATTATTCTCAGCCCTTTCTCATTTGTTCCCCATATTTGCTTATGTAGGCCTAATTAAATTAATTTAAATTGAAATGGGACATTGGTTGACTAATGGTTGTAATTAACAACTACTGGTTGACCAAGCCTACGTCTACATGAATCTGGATAAATTTGAAAACGGCATTTTTGTCTAAGGGTGCTTTCACATCTAGATTTTTGTTTCGGAACCTGTCTCGTTTCACTGGTTAGCGCGGTTTGTTTGGCATATGTGAAACCTCCTTTCTCAAAAACAATTGGTCCGAGATCACCTGAAAGAGAAAGCATGCTGAAATATACAGAGAGCTGTTTATCCATTAGGAACATTTACTCAACTGCAGTCTTGGCTTTTTTGTTATCTCTCTCTATATCATAAAGCCTATAATGCATAATTCTAGCCAAGGCTATGTATGAGATAGTCTTACCTCTGATTTATATTTGATGACAATATCTGTGGGTGTCACCATTTAAAATTAAAGCACATCTTTTCGCTTATACGGTCTTATTGCTTGTCGTCATAAATAAAAACAAGCAAGCATGACAGCTGAGCGGGACTCTGAAAAATAAACCCTGAAACTCTGACCAATGTGAGCAGTTTACTCTGCACTTTACTTGTTTTAGTTTTTTTGGTCCGTTTAGAAACATTACGGTGTGAAAGCGAACCCCACCAAGAACAAAAATAAACATTGTAACAACTTTAATCCCCATTTTGGAACAAAACAATCGATCTAAAAGGTGTGAAAGGTCTGAGTATCTTTTGGTCATAGGATTTTCATGGAAATCCATTGGAAATCTATTAGAAATGGATATTGAATAATAAAAAATGAACCGTTTTTTTTTTTCGATTTTAAATTCAAAAACGAATATTAAATAGAAAAAAATATTTTTAATGGTGAAAAATGAAAAAGCTAAATTCAAAAATCATTTGATTTTAATTTTTTTATTTTGAATAACAGAAAATAAAATCACCAGAAAACAAAAACGAATGAAGGCTTGTTTTTTATATTCCGAAACCAGACAAGCAAACTCATTCATGGTGCGCAATGCTGCCACATACAGACTACCCTACTGCAGGCTATTATTTTTTTCCACTTAATAGTCTTATAAAAGGTTTTTTCTTGTGATAACGGAATTTTATTGAGACATTTTTTCCTTATTAAGATGACATTTCACTTATATAAGGGCAGGTTATAGGCTATATATTTATTTACGTTGCTTTACTTACTGAAAGCACCCTAAAAAAGCTCCATGTAAACGTTATCATTTTCATTTTTTTCCGTCATTCAAAATAAAATGATGGAAAATGCTTTCATATACCCACCTGACATTTATTTAATTTCCAATATGAAAATAGGGTTTTTAAATGTCATCTCCTTAGGACTGTGTTACAAAAATGCTTTTATTTCCTAAAAAAGCTGTCTTAATGTGGACAATAGGCCAAAGCAGGGAGAAAACAAGGCATTTTAGAACAAAAATTTAGTAATGTGGACTAATAAAAGCTTTAGTCAGGGACAGCCCTAGTTTCCATGTAATGCAGCAGCAAATCAGCCTGTTAAAAGGTTTATTTGACATTGAAAAAAAGCACACACTATTTACAATTTGTTTGGTGTCAAAAGTGGCCACCTTAAATTTACAATTAATCCTAAAATTTTGATCAGTGTTTCTCAACCACGCTCCAGGAGGGCAATCAGCACTGCATGTTTTGTATATCTCCTTTCTCTGTTACACCCATTACAGGTCTTTCGGTCTCTGCCAATGAGCTGAAGATCTGAATCAGGGGAGTTTGGTTAAGAAGACATGGAAAATGAGCAGAGCTGGTGGTCCTCCAGGAACGGTTAAGAAACAACGACATTATATTGATCCCAGACCTGTTAAGCTATTTGTGTCATGCAAATAGTTATCCAACCTGTTATGTAACAGCATCAAGACTCCAAGCACACAAGAATGTCTGATTCTGTTGCAACAAACGTCTGAATGAGACCGACAAGCCAATGCACGCCAATCTAACATGAACCAAAGAATACTATATCAGCTAGCGGAGAGTTAAATTAACGCAATGTTTCAACATGTACATGCCCCTAAGACAAGTCAAAGCTCTGAAAGAAGCCTCTACTTAGACAAAAGTTTATGGTGTGTAATTAGAAGCAAAAGATGATACTGAACTCTTATTAGAGAGGAAACGCCACTATCATAGCACATGCTCGCTGATCAGCATGAAAGTTTGATTATTTCCACTGTTTGAAAACGTATATGAGAAGAGACATGTCCCATTATTGTGTTTGCATTAAATAAAATGTTACATTAACATCTATTTTAATGCTTTTTTGTGGAAAAAAAAGTTGACATATATGTGAATATATATATATATAGGTGAATTGGGTAAGCTAAATTCTCTGGAGTGTATATGTGTGAATAAGTGTGTGTGGATGTTTCCCAGTGATGGGTTGCAGCTGGAAGGGCATCCACTGCATGCATCCATTGGCGGTTTATTCCGCGGTGGCGACCCCAGATTAATAAAGGGACTAAGCTGAAAACAAAATTAATGAGTAAATTAGTTGTCATTTAAATAAATAAATACATAAATGATTGAAGCATGTATTAAACAAACTAACATTATACTAAAAAAGTTGACCCCCCTGATCGTCACACTGCACATACCATTAATGACAATTCTTCAATATATCATGCAGCCCTACATCCGACCCATATCAGTGTCAGAAACAAGCTTCCATCCATCAGTGACAAAGGTGGCGTCAGAAAGCGTCAGCTGCTGGACACAAGTCTTGTGGAAGATCCCAGGCTGAAGAGCTCCCACGCTGGGAGGGTTAGTGCATGTATGTGTGCATTTGTGCATGTATTGTCAAGAGCTACTGTGCACTGTTGTGCTATGTCACTGTCTCCCACGGTAAAGGCACTCACACCTGTGATGGTACCAACAAACTACTCCTTTCCTACAAGACAGCTGAGTCTCC